TCATTTGTTCAATGCGTTATTCAACCAGACCCATTTGACTCCAAAAACATGTTTTGAAACACGAGATTATCAAGATCGCAAGTGTAAGCTATTTTCTCACAAATAAATATGTTTTCGAGCCTCGGTCTTATACAAACCGCACCTTTTATATAATATCACTTTATTAGCTATTTGACAGGTACAACGCAATACTCAGCCTAAACGACCAACATTTGTTTATAAGGTGACAACCCAAGTGCTCCCAAAACTAATGATGAAATTTTGGCTCTTGGAGAATGGGGAACATATTTTATTGTTCTGATTCATCCAGGAGCCACGAAAATCGGGCTTCACATGGCTGGAGTGGGGGAGCAGAAAGACTAGTATTTGATACATAAAAGGATTTTAATTTCTATAAGTAGTGCATATTGCAATAAATTATCTTGAACTCAAATATTAAATTTGAGCCCTTAGAGAATGGGGAGCATACTTTTTTGACATCCAGAGATCTTTATTAATCACAAAATGGAGTTTACATCAAAGGAGATACAAAGAGAAGTACGAGAATGGGGAGCATACTTTATTGAACTATTTCATCCAGGAGCCACGAAAACCAGGCTCAGACATGCCCATAATTTGGGGAAGCACATAGACTAGTCTTTGATACAAAAAAGGATTTAATTCCTAAAAGTAGTGCATATTGCAATATATTATCTTGTGAAATAAGGACACATGTGATCTAGCTGGAATATATAATAATAAATTTTTTTTCTTTTTCAATTCTTTCATTTCTTCATGGTGTAGATCACTCACAATAAGTCATTTTACAATATAACAACTTCAAATAAAATAGAAGAAAATAATACCATGGGATCTCAAGAACTTGAAGCCATTCAAAACCTTTCTTTCAATAAAAAAGAAAAAATACAACCTATGCTTGGAAATAAAAAATATAATAAATAAATATGAAAGAAACAAAAGAAGGTGTCGGAGATTACCTCAATTGGGCTTCTTACACCTGCTACCGAGTCACCACCTTCCAATGGCATGGGATCTAATTGTCAACCTTCAATCGCAACCGGGAAAACAAGTTTGGACAAGCAACACCAATAAAACATGAACCCTTGTATCATAAATCTCAATCCCTTTGGTGAATTCCTTTAGCAATCTAATTTGACAGAGATGCTTCTCTTTTCTAATACAACCCTACAGTCTAAAACCTCAAAGAGAGATGAAAGATAATGAGATAGTTGAGAGAACTATCATGAGAGAGATATAAAAAATAAGAGAGTAGGGTATGCCCTTTGGGTCTCTTGAGGGAGAGAGATAAACTTTTTTAAGAGAGAGATATTCTAATCGTGGTGTGCCCCTTTTTCGGGATGTAAGAGAGAGATGAAAATTAGGTGTAAGAGATAAGGTGTAGAGATTTGGGCATGAATCAATTCCTTTTTATAAGATTTGAATAAGATTAGAGTTTTCCTTGGCTTATCTCTCATGTGAGATTGAATATGCATTGTTGATCTTGGGTGACTCGTGGGGTGAGAGATATGAGCGGTCCATTCCATAGATGGGCCATCAACAACATATGGAATGTGCTAGAACCATTATCCCACACTTTCTAAACCATTTTCCCATAAATTAATTCAAATAAGAAATTAATATATGATACTATTATTATTTCTTATTTTATGCTCGAGCCTTCTCATACATACTAAAAATATGATTAAAATCTGTACAAGGCTCAAGCTTATCAAATATATCTTTCTTATCCCACAAGACAAGAGCTTGTACTCTTTAGAAATAGCAAGTTACTTAGGTGGGGCGTGCCACCCTATGTGGCACATAATGTGCCCCACCCAATATGTAATGGTGAGCCCAAAATATCTACGGCCTCCCATACAGTTATATTATTTGTATAATTTTAGAAAAACGTAAAATCATTATTTGAATATTTAAATCATTATAAAGTCAATATAAATATTTTTATAAATCCAAATTTGGTAAATAAAATTTTTTAGATATTCATAAAAAACTAAATAACAATTCTAAAAATCATATATTATTAAAATAAATAAAATTAAATACCTTGATGGGAAAATTATCCATATGGTCTAGGAATAAATGTAGACTAGGGCACTATACCTTCAACTATGGATCACGATCAACACTTGCTTTCTCAAACTGACCCCGCAGTTCCCATGACCCACAATCCACTGTAGGGGCTTATGATTGGACCTCAAAGTCAATCAATTGGCCAGAGGATATAATCTTAGTATATGGATTTTAGGTTCTCCCCTAGAGATAAACCATGATCATCTAGACCATGATGCAACCATGACTCTATGGTGCATATGAATAATATCTCACACATATGCATGCTTCACCCTTAATGGTAGATTATTATATCAGTACGACTATCTATGTACATACCGTATGATGATACAACAATGAGGTTTTAGTCTTGTTTCTATAGACTATTCATCACACACAAGGATCACACAGTCTCTCGGCTCTCATCTGGGCATACTCCAACCTCATCAAGGGCTAACCCACTAAACCCCCATCGGTTTTATCTCTATGCCCAGGTACCTTGCGTTTCCAATTCGGCTGGCCTAGCACGTCAAGCCAAATCCGAGTATCAGCAAATTGCATTTGCCTAGTAATATCCACAAGAGGACCACACTTCCACTGAGTTTATGTTTTACTATATACAATGCTCATACAAGCTATCATAAGGCCTTTAAAGACCACATAAATCCAACATTTTGAGCGTTCATGTTTTAATTTTCTTTTGTTAAATACACTTGATCTACTTCATTATTGAAATTTTAAATTTCATAATTCACAGTACAAATAAGAGTAGTTTACGTGTATATCCTCCCAAAGTGTTAGTTATTCAAATAAGGAGAAAGTTTACATAGAGTTGAGGCTCTAAACAATCAAATTAGAGCCCACCTTAAAAATTTAACTAGAAGAGGTTGTTTTGATGCCCAAATGTTATCAAATTGATCATCTTGACATCAAGATGCATGGGCATGAGAAAATAATGGATTTTAAGTTTTGAAAATAGTGCATCTTGTAATGCATTTTGGACATCATTTTCAAGATTTTCTAGTTGTTATAGATATGCTTGATCTGCACTATTTTCTAAGCTTTAAATTTTATAACTAAAGCGTTCATACCTAAAATTTTGCCTTTTTTTTTTGTTTGTAGATGACAAGATTATTCATACTTTGGATTTTGAATATCTGAAATTCAGATCCCAAGTTTACCAACCCTCATCTTAAGTGCATCGAGGGCAAAAAATACATCAGATTTTGAAAATTGTAAGTTTTTTCTATTGTTGCACAGGGAAAAAGATCCAAAACTTCATATCTACAAACTTTGAAGTTTTTTTCTTGAGTTTTTTGGCTGATAGGAAAAAGATCCAAAACTTCATACTCTACGAGTATATTCTATTAATCCATACCAGAATCCAAAAAAAATTATGGATTCTCAATATCCGAAGTTTTTTCTAGAGTATAGAAAAATAGTAGAAAACTTCGGATTTTGAAAATTCAATGGTTTTTTTTAGAGTTTACAAAAAAACGTAGAAAACTTTGGAATCTCAAGTTTGGGGACAAAACAAAAAAATGCAAACAAGGACGTAAACATATTATTAACATTTTATGGGGAATTTTTTTAAGGACATGGTTCATAGGAGTCATATGTAGATATGCATCCTCTGTTCGTGATATATTTTTTATATAGAATTTGAACTTAATGTTTTGAGTATATATATATAGGGCAAGTTTTTTATGCTTCTCCAGTAGCATAGAAGTTCTATCCTCCTCTTTATCCAACCATCCATTCTGAATGGAGGGCTAAGATTGCCCCAATCACAATGTCACGTCTTTACATTGTTTTATTTTTAATTTTTTTCTATAAACTATTTTGACACAAAATTTTGCACGTCCATTCCTCTATGAAATTCTCACGAAAATTTTTTTTTTTAAATAAAATAAAATGATCAAATACCCTTGAAAGATATTTTTTATAGGTGCGCCCCAATGAGAAGATGACACGTACCAAATTCCATATTCATACAATTTGTATTAAAAAAAAATTAATTATAAAATACTGTGAGACGTCGGATCTAAGATCAAATGATGAGTGATTCTCTTGATCAAAATTGGATGGCTAAATGGTAGGAGGAGGATAAAACTTTGTTGTAGGGGAAGCATAGAAACCTTTCCCACATATATAATCTCCAATATGGACATCATGAATGTATAAAAATAAATAAAAATTCAAAAATAAAAATAATTTTTATAAGAAAAATTTAAGTATTGATTTAAAGGTGTGGTATCAAATTAGATCCTACCTTCAAATGGTGTCAAGAAATATGGTTTCAATATTGGAAATCTTTGTAATAGCCTTAAAATATATTATTCTATTTATATATAATTTTTAAAGCTTCAAAAAATAGTGTAGATCGACATATCTATGCAAACTTGAAAATCTTAAAAATTGACGGTACAAAAATACGTCACAAAATACATTATTTCCAAAACTTACGATATATTTTTTTCTCATGCCCATGCATCTTGATGTTGAGATGACCAATTTGAAGATATTTGGGCATCAAAACAACCTCTCCTAGTGAACATTTTTTAAGGTAGGTTCAAATTTGATTGTTTAGAGCCTCGGCTCAATGTAAACTTTTCCCTTGATTTAATGATTTCACCCCTTTTTTTTTAGATAAACCATGAATCCACATCCATTTTCGAAATGTAGATACGCAGGAGATGCAAATATAAATGAAAAATTGTTTCATACGGGCTGGACCGCATTTCTACATATGCAGCGGTCCATAAAGTGTAAAACATCTATATTACGGATGGATGTAAAGAGGTGTTCCATTAAAAACAATGAAAAACGGTCCGCATTATTAGAATTATTATTTTTTAATTTTTAAAATTTATTTATTTTTTGATATTCATGATGTCCATGTTAGAGAGAGAAAGTAAGTTGAAGGGGATTATAAATCCTGCATGGTTTGAGAGAGAGAAGGATAATCTCTGCCACTCTAGAGAGAGAAAGAGGGGATGGATCTCTTGAAGAAAGAGTTGGAGCGCAAGAGGCAGAGCGTAAACTCAGACTTTGGTGGCCGCAAATTTGCTAAGCGATCAGAGATCGAACAGAGAAAGCTCCAACAACTCCGTGAAGAAGAGCAGAACGAGCTCCAATCCAAAGCCGCCATTAAAGAGAAATCTGCCCAAAACCCACAAGTTTCAGGCCAAAAACCAGACGCCCCACCTTCTTTAATCCCCTCTTCGAAATCCCAGAACTCTGATGAGCAAAAGATTGACGAGCTCGACCTCCCTAGGGCAGAGGTTATTCGAAGACTGAGATTTCTCAAACAACCAATAACCCTTTTTGGTGAAGACGATAAAGCAAGGCTTGATAGGCTGAAGCTCCTTCTAAAGGCTGGAATTCTTGAGATTGATAATGATATGACAGAGGGCCAAACCAATGATTTTCTCAGAGACATGGCAGAACTCAGGCAGAGGCAAAAGAGTGGGCTTTTGCATTCTCGTAAAAAGCGGAAAGAGAAAGATGGTGTTGAAGATCGAGAAGGTGGGGGTCAAGGGGACGATGAGAACAGCGGAGATGGAGGGTCTTCGGGAATGGAGGGCGATAAGGATTTGAAGAGGATGAAGAGTGATTTTAGTGAGCTCTGTGATGAGGATAAGATACTGGTTTTCTTCAAGAGGTTGTTGAATGAGTGGAACCAGGAGCTCGAGGAGATGCCTGAGGCTGAGAAGAGGACTGGGAAGGGGAAGGCCATGGTGGCAACATTTAAGCAGTGCGCCAGATACCTGAACCCACTCTTCAAATTTTGCAGAAAAAAGGTAAATTTTCTTGGGTTTGAAACCCTAAAACCCTTTGGAATAGACTTAAGTTACTGGTATAATTGGTACTTGGCAAGTAAAGAGTGCAACAGTTAATGAGCAGTGTGGTGAAATATTTTATACTTGTAATGCCCCCCTGTGCATATGTAGCTTACTGTGCATCTTGGTGTTTATTATGTTACTGTTTTTTTTCTTGCTTCTTCTTTTTAAAGTATTAAGAACAAAGACGCAGAAAACCTAGAAACCCTGTATCAGACAGTAAGTATATATTTAGGGCTTTTATTTTGTCATGCTGAAAAATATTTTTTCATTTCTTGTTTAGTTTGCCAAATGTTTCAGTCTTACTTTTATGTCAATAAAAATAAAGATAATACTTCTATGCAAATTTTAAGATAATGATGTAGGGCTCAAGATACTAATGACTTTCTTCACCCTGTTCTTTGTCGATAACTGCATTGCGAAGGGAGAGTAGTTGTTGGGCAGTGTTTTAATATGCGGGATGCGGTCAAAAGCAGTGGGTGGGTGATGCGGCTCGGATGCGGGTGCATCGCGACGATTCGGTTAATAAATGTAAAAAAATTTAAAAAATCTAAAAAAATAGGTTTATGCATAGATAAAAATATGGAGGTGATATATGTGATAGTGGGTATTTTAGTTTAATGATTAACTTCAAAATTATTAGCTGCCGGAGATTCTGTATCCAGTTATCCACTATCCCCTGATAGGAACTAGAAACTTGAAACTAGCTTCATAAAACATTCAACAATCAACAACCATAAGCACAAATTTGCACCATAAGCACAACCATCAACAACCATAAGCACAACCATAAGCACAAAATAGAGATATTATAAATCAAAAGTCAAGCTCAAGAAGAGTTAATAGTTAATAACTTAATACAATCATCCATTTTGAGAGTCAATTTTGAAATTTGAAGTCAATTTTTCAAATATCAATCAAAGAAGTCATCTTGAGAGTCGTCATTTGTATCATCAATATCATCCTTGATTTGATGCAAAAAATGCCACAAAAGTGGCTGGAAATCATCGTTTAGGGGGTTTAATACCCCCAAACGGTGTCCCCCATTTTTGGATGGTCAAAAAGTCCATTTTGCCCCTCCCCGAAGGGCAAAATCAAAAGAAAAATTTGACGGAAGGGGATGCAGTGTGATGCAGGATGTGGCTACGATGCGGCTGCATAGTTCAAAAGCACATATGCGGTCAGTTCTGATGTGGAGCCCACCGCACACCGCATGATGTGGCCGCATATGCGGCGATGCGGCTGCATTTTAAAACCATGTTGTTGGGAATTACTACAAATCGTATGTGATATTGTTTTCGCTTGTATTCAGCTTTTCTCAATGATGATGTTGCATGTTTTCATTTGCGTGACATTCTATAGCAGGATATTAATCTAGTACGGCACCCAAACTATATCATTGGCATGGAGCTATGTGTCATGGATCCTATGTTAAGTAGGTAGGTATTTCGGTAGTTAGCTGGATGACCAAATGACCAACGGAGTGTAGTAGTTGATCATATGGAGGTAAGTTAGGAGATGTTCAGTTATATCCATTTGCTTCTTCCATTGAGCTTCTTTTGGAGTATCCGACGAGAATTGGGAACTGAAGCCTGATCAACACCCCATAATGTTCTTATGCATACCACCCCACCCTACTTATTGCGTATATTGAAGTTCACTGAGATATTATTCCAGGAGTCTGGATGCCAACACTTTCAAACCTGAACAAATTCGGTCTTTGACTCCATGTCTCAAACAAAATGCAGGATTAGATACCTAACATAGTGGAAAAACACAAATCACAATGAAGATCCCATTGCCTGATGAGTTGGTTTTCTCCCACTCTCCATATTATCTGCGAAATGATTGGAGGAGCTGATTTCATGGAAAATTCTTTTCTTGGTTCCTTGCATGATATGCATCATGCAGATATGTACTTATAGCTTTTTCCAAAGCCTGATAATAGGTTCACTACATAAATGAAAAGACAATTGGTGGAATACATGACACAAGAGATATTTTTACATAAAAAAAAAGACATGGTATAGTAGATTTGGGATGACCTAGGAACATTGTGGATGAATGGTATTGAACATACACATTCTCTGATATAAGAGGCACACCATCTTCAAATGCTTATTCTTTTTTTTAGGTCATGTGGTCGTGGGATTCCATTAGAAGCTAAATTCGGGAGGAGGTTATTAAGATGTAGGGGAAACCAGTGGATCTTCCATTATTGTTTGACGAAGTGGTCATTTGCCGGACCATGACTATCATCGTCATCATCCGAGCCTTATCCCAACTATTTGGGGTTGGCTATTGTGGGACCATGAATAAATGTTAAATAATCAGATCGAGAAGGATGCACATCATTTCATTAGTCCCATGCTAAATATCATCATTAAGCTTCTGTTGGAGATTTAGTTTAGTATTACCCTTTCTGAATTCACTAACAGAGTTGGTAGTCTCAGAGTTTGTTGGCTATATGGTTGCTTTAGGAGTCATGGCTTCAAGTTGATACATGGTTATCGAATTGTTTATGCTGTTCATGAGGAAGAAAATATTTGGAATTTATATATAGGACACCTTTGATACTTCTAGCTATATCTAATACACATTTGATACTTCTATAGTTCTATATGCATTTGATTGATTTAACTGTTTAACAACCACCAGGGGAGCAGGCAACTTTACAAACGTAAATTTGAGTTTGATTCCAGCAAACCATATTTTTGTTTATATTTGAACTAATTTTTCAACTTATATTTTTGTGATTTGTATAAATATCAGAAATGATAGACACTTATGAATCACGAGGACCTGAGCAAGACTCTGTGACAATGGACTCATCCGGGTCATCAAATAAACAAGTGAGGTGGTCGAGTCTTCAAGAAACCTAGTCATACTCTTATTTCTGAGAAACCAGGCCATACTCGTGCATGACACGAAGTACAAGAATAATATAAGTTTTAATAGATGATGATGTACCTTTACTTTCGGTAAATTAATTTCCTCTTCTATAATTTTTCCTGGATCAAGAAGTATCTTCTCCCGTGCTCCCTCTGAGAACTTAAATCTTAATTATGCTTAAATATCAAATAAATCATTTAGCAAAATGCTGTGAAGCTGAAACCTGCCCCTCCGACCACATTTTGTGGCCCAGGTCCTAGTTCTTTAGGGCCGGGCCGCCTGGCCCATTGCCAGCACTAGACATATGTGTTAGTGTATGTATACTCATTTGTGCACATGTGCATGTTCAGGTGTCTGAATGTATCTATTGAGTGCATTTGTATTTTTGTGATATTTTTTCCATATGTATGGGAGAACTCTCAGGCATGTGCATCCTTGCACGTGAAATTTCCATCCCATTCTTTCTTTTATTGTGATATGGAGTTTCCTGTGAAATAGGATTTAAGAATTTAACAGAAATTTTGGGTAAATCTTCATGAACATTGATAATCTGGAACGATAGAAAAATATCTACGACAAATACTGTTCATGAGGCACAACCATTTATGGAAATAAATTTTAACATAAACACAACATGAAATCCCAATGTGACTCGCATGCTAGCTATGAAAAGAAACAATATTGGATCACGTGTATAGATCTGTGATTTGGTTTTTCCTGCCAAACTTGTGGTTAGCATTTATTTCTGGAGAGAATCAAGTACTCCTACCCGAAAAGGAGGATACATGCGATTGCCTGAAGTCAATGGATCCATGAAATCTTTGTATTTGGTTTCAGGAAGCCATTGTATATAGTTTTTCCAAAGAGTATTGAAAAAGTATGACAAAATATTTATACTACTGAAGAAGAAAACTTGTATCTCAATGCTTCACAAAAGGTGACAAGTGACAATTCTTTCTCCAAGTGTGTGTGTTTAGGTTCTCAATTTTTCCATACATGTGTAATTAGCATTGATGTACAATTGTCTAGCATCTCCCCATTTAACTTTGAAATATGTAATCTCCGAGCTAACTTTCCCTTCTAATTTAACTCTAAAACAGAATAAAATTAGCTTCCTCACTCAATGCCCCTTGATTTTTTGAACTTTGGAGCTTTCTCTTTTTTTGTTGTTTGCACCTAAATTTCTTTCAATAGCAGCCAGTGCAGTGTTCTCCACATATATTATGTTTTCCCATTGGGATAGGCGCTAAAGGTATGTGGAACTAGCCAGCAAATTATTGCAACCATGCCCTGTCGGTAATGGAACTGATTAGTTCATACCCTAAAATTGCATAACAAGTAGTTGTGTTGTTCTCCCTTAGTTTTTCCTTTCCAAAACATTTCATCAAGAAGAACCCTGTGAATCTCATTGGGGAACATGTTTTAATCATTGGTACTCGAAGGGGACTTCTTGTTCTAGACATCATTGTAGAATTGTGAAATTCAACTTTTTTTATTTTTTAATTTTTGGTGATGAATACCTTAAAAAATGGATCTGCTTATGTTTAGAGTTTCTTTTGGAGGTGTTGAATTTCTTGAGAAAAAATCTGAATATGCTGCATTTTCTCCACTGTGTTGGAACATTTTTGGATAAGTTGTTTTTCTTTGTTGGTGATATTGGGAAAATAAAATTATCTCAAATCTGTAATGGGACCAGGGTGCAGTGCTCCATTAAATAAATGGCATAATTCAAGGATTCAGTTCATTGAAAAATGGATCACTTCGGTAATTGAGTCTTACGTGCAACCTTCAACACTAAAAGAACGTCAGTTGAATGGATCATGCACTGAGAATGATAGACAATAGCGAATAGCTTCATTTCTAGAGATCATTGTAGAATTGTGAGTGTTTTTGTCAAGCAAGCGGTAATTGATTATTTGGTTCTTCCTACCAAAAAGATACCCTATGGGTCACATTATTGGAATTTATGTTATCGGAAAGAAAGCTTGACTTTATCTACCTAGTATTTTTTCTAATGCTTGAGTTTATCTAACTGGTATTTTTTCTAACCATGGAGATTCTATCAGTGAAGAAATACTTCTTTGGAAAAAGGCTGACTTCACAAGATATAATCCTTCTTGAAAACTTGATCCTGGGTCATGATGACAGTTGACCTTAGTTGACCAGGTCTTGAAAATAAAAAACCCTCTAGGTCTTTAGAAAACCAAATAATCATTTGGTCTGATTGCAGAGTCCTAGGTGAGACTTGACCCAGTTTTGCTCTAGGTAACAAAACAATTCGTGCATCATTTGGATGTCTGTGAACCATGATCCTCATTCATCAAATCAAGCATAGATTATTATAGTACCAACTCATTAAACTCTTCCGAGTAAAATTAAAAACTTTTCAATGATCCCCATCAATTTTCTGAACGAACCTTACTGTGATTCTGTGATGCTGGATAGATTCAATGAATGCATAGAAATGAGACTCCTAGAAAGATTGCGACGTTTGGTATGTATTAGTAGATGGCAATAATATTACCGCAGCCTTAGAAGCTAAAATGTCTTGGGAGGCTATATGGTTTTATCTCCTGTATTTGGAATATGATTTGGAGGGATTTAAGACAAAATTTCATTGGTCAATGGCCCTTGCTGCAACAATATGAGTATCTTCATTGTTACTAGTATGTTGGTGTTCTCACATATTGTATTTAGGCCCAATCCGGTGGACCTCTACCTTAATGGAGTCTCTTATACATCGTCATCATCATCATCATCATCCAAGCCTTATCCCAGTTAATTAGGGTCGGCTACGTGAATTCTGTTCCTCAATTCTTCTCTATCAAGGGCCATACCCTCAGTAATAGGTTCAAGATTCATAATAAGATGTGGCAAAGTTTTACACGGGCTGCCTATCTAACACAACCCACCTCCTATACTCGGGCTTGGGATGGGTTAAGGGAAAGTTTAAGGTCCTCACCCTTCTTAGACCAATTCAGTCTCTTATGCGCTATCTAATAATGTTGAGAGTCCCACCTTATCTAAGTTGGACTGATTTCTTATCAATCTTGAGTGGGAAGATTTATTGCTGGACGTCCACTCTAGGGCACTTCCAAAACCAACTTCGGATCAGCCTCCGATCCCTTTAGAATTTGCCTATCCTCTCTGGCCAGAAACCCTTCAAGTATGAGTTGATGAGGTTGGAGGAAAGTTAAGAAAAGGATCCTGATCCAGTGATTTTAGTGGATTGACTTTGATAATATATGTAATGTGTTGGACTGTATTGTATTAGGATGTTGCTTAGATTTGAATTTCATTCTGTTTAAGGGCATGCTGTCCTTTCTATATCGTACATGTAGATAAATTAATAAATTCATTTCAGGGATGTTTTATCATAAATGAGAATAAAAGACTTGCAGTACACACGCAAGCCCATTCCATCTATTTTCATTGTTAAGTATTCAAATCGGGGTGTTCATACCCAAAATCATTCACAGATCCCAATATATATACATTCATTACAGATTCTACCTGATTGAATAGCTGCCATAATTTTATTTTTCCTGGAATAGTGTTGCCAATGTTGTCATTTTTGACACTGGCTTGGGTAAAAAATAAATGAGATCATTTTATGATCAGTTTTATGAGCATTATGTCTATTCCTTAGACAATCCAGGGCCCTCAGGTAAGTCTTTTTGGAGACCACGAAGGGTCCACCATGGCTTCTTTCTTGAAGTTTATAGGTCACCCATATTCCTAATCAGCAGAAGCTACAACTTTGCTTGAGGGCCTCAAACCATCTGACAACTCTTAGGGCCAAGCACTTAACAGTAGAAGGGGACTCCCACAATGTTATTTCCTGGGTTTCTGGTTCCGCTAACTTCCCCTGGCCCCTGATCCATACTTTCGACGAAATTTCTCATGTGAGCTGAGGACTTATGATTACTTGGGGGAGATATATACCACAAGAGCAACGCAGAAGCAGACTCTCTCGCCAAAGCGGTTGCTTCACATGCTATAGGCTGAACGTTTTTTGCAAACTCAGCCAGTGTCCCTTCAAGGGGTTACCTCTCCCCTCCTTCTCTGTCCTTCCTTCCATTACCCTCTCCAGGGATTTTGTATAGAGCTCCCTCCCTGAGGGCAGCCATATTTGCTGTATATGACCCCTGCCTCCCCCCAGTGATCCAATTTTGTACCATCTTTTCTTCTTTTCAATACAACAGTTAACTTACTTCAAAAAAAACATGGTCATCTTATTGGCTTGGCCTTTGATTATTTGTAGTTTTTCAAATTTCATAATTTTATCAGGGGACCTAAAAAGTGATGCTGAATACTGCATATGTAACTACAAGATGGGGGTCATTTTGGAGCCGCCTCCACTCAACACCCTGAAGTATAACTTGATAAGCTCTGTTGGAGACACTAGACCAGCTATGCTTGGAGGCATGTTTAAAAATAGATAGGTGGAAGTGGCAATGACCTTTTTAAGATCATGAAGACGTGATTTGATGGTTGTAGATGCAATAGCACTCTGTGTTCCTAATTAACTTGCGCAAGTGTTCTCCGCTTTGTTCTTTTGGTCATGTGTTGGGACCCCCCGTCATTTAATGGGCACATTGACTTCCCTGTGATGGCCAACCTCATTGAAGAGCCGCTTAACATTACTAGGATTGGGAGAGTTTAGCTTTGCCATGTTCCTAGAGAAGCTAATGATAGGATTAATAGGTTAGCCAACTAGTGGGTGTATTCAGAGACCTGATGCCGAAGGATTCATGGCCTCCTGGATGAGCTGAGGCTCATGTATGGCCTTATTCGGTTTTGCCTGCTCTTTGTCCTTTTTCTTATGGTGTATACATCTCAGCGGAGCTGCAACATGATGTCTAGTGTTCCGTTCCTAACCATTAACATGTCAAAAAAAAAAAAAGGCTATCTGGTGTTTGTCTTGTCAATGTAATTATTACTTAGAAGTTGTCAAAATCATTACTTTTCTCGCTCCGAAACTGACCACCGCATGTGCCCCTCAATTCACAATGACGTCAACTAGATTATCAACCATCCATTCTGCATTTTGGGAGACAGGTTTGTATAAGAAGCCCTTATTCTTCAGCTATGAAATAATTTCCATTGTTGAATGCAACTTTTTTGGTTGGATAATGCCTCAATCAAGGCTATGATGATGATGATAATGTCTCAATCCATCAAGTCTTCCATTCAGGTTAAAGACCTAAGCCAAAATTGCCGATGCGAAATAGTTGTTGGGTCACAAGTAGTAATGAGAATTCTATTAAAATAGATTAGTGTGATACATGCATTTAATTTGACGGTGTGGTTAACATCTTCCAAAAGAAAAATAAAAAAATGATGGTCACACAGCCATTGGTTGATCATTTGACATTCATTAGAAATATGCTGAGAGAAACTGATTTCTTGGTCTGTCAAATTAAGTCTGTGAAGCTCTTTTTCAGACTGTACAATGGCCTAGTTGACAAACTCTACACATGTTCAGCATCATGTAACTTGTTGATGGTGTTAGTTATGTACTACTTTCGTATTTTCTGCTTATGCAAACATTTGCTTGTGGATATAAGGAATTTGATTGCTCACCATGAAAGTTAAATGTATTAGAGGTTTTCAGAAATACATTCTTGTTGAGCTTTGCGTCAATGGCATGAGCATGCAATAAGCCTGTTGTGTGATTTGTATGTTTGCATTTGTGTGTGTTAATATCTGTACATGATTGATGGAACTTGTATTGATAAATATCCTTGTATAATCCTACACTTTTGTTTTATCTTTTGAAATTCTGTGTTTAGTCTTCATTCTCAAAAATAAATTCTGTCTTTAGTCTTTGTTCATCTACTTCTATCACCCTGACATAAACCCCTATATGGTTCAGTGCTTCAGGTTGCTGGCCCTGTTGATCTCACATGGTCCCACCTTAATAGGAATGTCGACCTTAGAAAGGATTTAGACCTGCTAGTTCTTGGAATTTAAATAACTAAGCAAATTGCTACCTCAATAGAAATTAAAATACATAAAAGTTACATTGTTTGGAGGTTAGCAGATGGACAGAGATTAGCACACTACACAAGCTGGGAAATACATAATTTTTCCTTAGAAAACAGCAATAAAAGTCATAAATTCTGGCCTTTCAAGGTCCTTGAAGCACTAGATAGGTTTCTTTTTAGGTGATCTAATCCCTAACACTCTCTGTTCTCCAAAAATGGATTTGTTCAAAGTTCAGGCTGGGGGATAAGCAGGTTTATAGTTGGTTTGCTTCCATCAAACACCTTTGAGACAACTTTTCTGTACCATTCTGTACTGATCTCTCTTTTGATTTTGAAATATCAGATACTTGTTTTGTTAACATTCTCATAAAAATAAAATAAATCAGATACTTGTATTTTTTTTTTGGGATAAAATCCATTATATTCTTGTTTTTTCAGTGACATTTTCTTGATAAGTTGTGGTTTTATTTTCAGTACGGTGCTCGTAGTGATCAAACTTACTTATTTAGTCAGTGTTTTGCAGGTTCTTCCTGATGACATCCGTCAAGCTTTGCTAGTAGTGGTGGAATGTTGCATGAAGAGAAATTACTTGGCTGCCATGGATCAATACATCAAGCTTGCCATTGGAAATGCTCCATGGCCCATTGGTGTCACTATGGTCGGTATCCACGAGCGTTCAGCTAGAGAGAAGATTTACACAAACAGCGTAGCTCATATTATGAATGACGAGACGACACGAAAGTATTTGCAATCAGTGAAGAGGCTCATGACTCTTTGTCAGCGAAGATACCCAAGTATGCCTTCTAAGGCAGTGGAGTTCAATAGCTTGGCAAATGGCAGTGATTTGCAGTCTCTCTTGTCTGAGGAGATCACCAACCCATCTGGAGAGGACAGGCTCATGCTGATGCCAGCTCCGAAAGAGAACAGCACACATATATGAGTCGGCCAACCATGAGAGAGAATGGCGGTGAGGTAAGCAACGAGAACCAGGAAATGTGTAGTAAGAGAATTTTTGGACTAATTAGGTCTCATGTACATGATGTTTATGCGTATAAAATGACAAGTCTGATTTGTTCTTTTCGGTTGGAAAATGTTTTGATAGGGCTGTAACTGTATCAAAATAAGTTAAGCCTCACCTCAAAACTCACAAAAAATTGTAGCTACTGGTGTCGGATAACGATCAAATCGATCATCTCGACCTTGATTATTATGGTTATGAAAAAAAATGGATTTCAAGCTCTTGAAATAGTGTATATTGTAATACATTATCCAAACCATCCAATTTCAAGTATTTATGGATCCATAAGATCTGTAACATTTGATTTGTAACATTTTTGAGCTGGAAATTGATTTTAGAGCTGTCATAGAGATTTTTCTTGCCTGAAGTATTTTCTGGACGTGGTTTCCAGTTATGGTTTTCTTTTGTTTTTTTTTTCTATAGAGCCTATGCCTTTGAAAAATCAATATATATCAGTGTGTGTGAGAGCTCAATATATATCAGTGTGTGAGAGATCAATATATATCAGTGTGTGTGAGAGAGATACCATAAAATGCAAAAAGAAGAGAAAAACCAGTAGAGGTAGAGCTCAATGGAGAGAAAACCATGAAATTCATTCCTAGTTTGGTGTGAGAGAGAGATAGCATACCTATTGAGATTTGAGCTTTTTTTCGAGTGGTGTGAGAGAGAGCATACCTATTGAGAATTGACCTTTTGAATGTGTATAAAAAGCAAGCTCCTTCTTATCTTTAGCTCCCAATTGGAGCAAGGCCCATGACCATGGCTTCCCTTTAAAGTCTCTAAACGATTTTTTTTACTTCTTGTTGAGATTGCAGAGGAAAAGAGAGTTATCTTTGTTTCATGTAATTGGGGTTCTTCTCACGTGCTGGTTTTCTATGCAATTTCTTTCCTACTCGTGCTCTTTCTACTCCAGCATGCCCTCTTTCTTTCAATTTTTCCCATGCTCTCTCTTTATCTCTCTATTATAGGAAGGTTTGAAGGGTTACCGACTGAGCTGACATTTTGAGTGGGGTGATCTCAGCTCTCCATTTCAAATGAACGGTTGAAAAGGAGGGGGAGCATGGTTTTTATACGTTGTAGGGGAAGCATTGAAAGGTTTCCCTTTTAAAAGTGGGCGTGACTTTTATTGAGCATTTAGAATTCATGATGTGAGATTTGGAAATTTATTATAAGAAGTCAAAAAAAAATAGGTATTTTCTAATTTAAACCAATGAATGCCATTGGAAATAAGATGAAAAAAATTTCTATATTTCATCAAACACCCGAGTATCCTACAAAACATAACATATTTCATATAGTAAAAGTTAAAAGAATGTAGAAATACAAATGAATATCATTAATAATTTAGAATACCCGGAATGCATTACTCTTTATATTCTTTATATATTCAATAATTCGACTTTCATGATCGATAAATTGCTATTTAGTAAAATATACAAATTTTACTTCTATCAAAAAATAAAATAAAACTGAACTTACAAATTTCACGTGCATTGTAAATAATTATTTGATGTAGCAAGTCTGAACTTTACAAATTTCACTAGCAATGTAAATAATTACTAGATGTACTAAGTCTTTTTCTTTTTTTTCTTTTTTCTTTTTTTTTTGAAGTTGGTGTACTAAGTCAAAAAGCATTCAATCTATAATTGAAACACAAAGAGTGGAGATTATGGGACAAATCTTGATCTATCAATTTAATAACAGATATTGATAATGCTTAGACATACAACACGCAAGACAAACTCAAAAATGTAAACATATCTGAATAAAAAAAAAATCCTATAACATAAGTTAAATATTAGGGAAATTTATATCCATAGAAAGTAAAAATCAATGAAATTATTTCTTGTGTGAGCATATATGTTAGTGCCCAATGATAATATTATATGTAAAATAAAGTAATACTTCTATATTATCTAACAACCAAGTATCCAAAAAAGTAAAACATTAATCCCCTAGCAAAAATAAAGAATCTAAAATAAGTTACAAAAAAATATTTCAAGTAAAAACAAATAACATTAATGATTTGAAATATATAAAAGGTATTTGCATAAAATAAAAGTCCCAATATTTTTTCATCCGTTCAACCATTACTAAATAGAAAAAACTATTAATTGAAATATTAAAAGAAGACATAGTAAAATATGTAGAAACAGAAAATAGAAAAAAAAATATCAGGGCACTCAAGATAGAAATACGTCAAATGAAATATCAAAACGCATAAATCCAGTAAACTCTTAGGCCACTTCAATATACATCAAAATCAAAAAAAAAAAAGTTAGAGAAATAAAATTTAAAATTTTTATGCCCCAAGATATCTTTTAAAACCTCAGGTGTATTGTAAAATAAAAGCTAAAAATAGAGGTATGGAGATATTTTCCCTTAAATATATTAAATTTCATAATTTAAATTTTTTTTTTAATAATAGTTATATTTAAATTATTATTTACATTATTTCTACCATACCCATTTGCAATCCATTATTACGATGTTATCGCTTTCAAAATCTGGCTGAAAATACGTAAGATTCAAATCGGACTTTCACAATCCAAAATTATTTAATATTAGGAATTCCAAGACCCGAAAATAAAAATCGGACTTCCTAAATTGGAAAATATTTAAAGAACAATCAGACTTTCAAAATACAAAAAAAACATTGGATTTCCAAAATCCGAAAATATTTTTAAAAAAAATTGGACTTTCAAAATCCGAAAATAATAGGATTTCGGACACCCAAAATCCGATATATTTTAAGGTCTTCAAAATGAGACGCCATTGCCGATATGAGAATAGATATGTAAGTAACATTTGCAGCTAGCAATTAGTTATAGATGCAGTTCATATAATATGGCAGCCTTGGAAGTAAGTAAGATTGTGGAGACTGGTCAAATTTTAATTGGACGTGTAGATTTGATACAGAATGACATGTTTCTATGCGGCCAGGCCGCATACTGTAGAAATGCGAGCTTGGCAATAAATATATATTTTAAATATAGTTTGATCTTAAGTTTTAGACTTTAGAGAATATATATTCTTTAACATAAAGATCATGAATATGAAAAAAAATAAAAATAAAAAATTATATTAAAAAAATATTTAGACCGCTAGTTATACTTATTTCCAGATGGACCACTTATTTGCATCCATCTTTAATATGGATGCTTTATACCTTTGGAGGCGTATTTTCCCTTTTTAGAATAGTATAAAAGAAGTGATATTTCTCTCGTTCAAATCCAAACCATCCAAATAAAAAAAATGGTGCAGATTAATGCAACCTAGTTTCTACAAGTAACATCCTTATATAAACTTTTTCCATTCGTTAATGCCAAGGACTAGCGTTTAAGAATGGATCATAGATCAATTAGCATTTTCATTACACTCACGCGTTTCGAATTAGATATTATAAATTTGAATAAAACAATATGAGCTCTCAAACTTACAAGAAAAAAAAAAAGGTAAAATAGAAAAGGGGACCTTTATATATGCCAATGTATATATGCCAATGTGCATAGGAGAATCATACATGGTTCCCCAATTCATTAGATGCATTACTCCCCATTCATTAGATGTGCATCACACAACTATGAACATGTGGTGCCTAGAGTTTCCTACTCTTTGTACTCACGTTCCTTGTGGTTTTCTGCAACTTTCAGTCCTAAAATTTTCTAAATTTGGGAATTTTCTCATGTTTTCTTTCCACCCCCAATGCAAATCCTCAAATAGTTCAAGACTACACAAATTTTACATGGGATCGTATGCTACAAGGCAGTTTACCATTAGAACCAGAAGGTTACAATCAATCGTAGGGGAATCATGCACCCAGAGATAACTTGGCTGCGTCAAAAACAATTTCTAGAACTTAAACATGTCACTAAAACACCTGTAAGTGCCCAATTGCACATCTAATGGTTACAGATGGTAGTGATCTTCTTGTCCAAAAATAACAGGTATTATTTATATATTATTATATTTTATATTGCTTTGACTTTTCATAATTCAAATGTTTATCTTGCATTCATGTGCCAAGAGCTTATGTCAAACAAATTAAAAATTTCTCCAAAACTGAAGAATACCCTGTAAGAATCAATTTAAGTTTAGAGGAATGATCAGGCGCCCTCGTGGCACCATAGCTTAAATGCATAGGCAAATCTATACCACCAATCCTAATGATAAACTGTGAACATTAAAAAGAGGTTCTATGGAAGTTATTGCAGGCCCTTCCCACATTTCATCATCTCAAAAGGTGATTGAATTACCCTCCAAAAAAAAAAGTTGATTGAAAAGAAATGAGCAAATTAACTGTGGTTTTTATTTTCGCACTCACGAGAGCTGTCCGGCGTTTGCATTGCCGGAAAAGAGCATTCCGTTTAAAGTTTGGTGTGTTTGTTGTCCCGTTTTCGAAATACCAAACAATATTTGGGCTTTCTAACCCCCTACGAGCCCCATTTCGCTACTCCTGCTCTCTCTATTCTCTTTTTTCTTCTCTCGCTCTCTCTTTCCTCAAGCCAAGCCCGGCCCTCTCTACGACCTTAGAGCCCAGCCCTCTCTGTTTCCACGGAGCAGGCTTCTCAAGCTACAACTACTAACTAGATATATTTTTATTTTGGGGAAATGAGATTTGGGTGATTAGGGTTTTGGGGAGAAAATAAACCCAAATATGTAAATGGAGATTAAGGTTTTCGGTTAACACATGAATGTTCATTTTTCCTATTGATTTTGATCGAATTTGGGCACTATTAAGTCTTATTGGATATTCAATTGAATTGAGAAATGAATGCTTATTGATTGATAAGAAAAAGAGGGATTCAGAATGCCTTGAATTTGATATCTATTATTTTCAAAGAAATGATGAGTTAATCTAATCTTAGGGTTCAATAGATTTGTGAAATGCGGTGTGGTTACCCATGTTGAGGATTCAATGAATTATATTATTGTTGTGGGATAATTTTATCATCATTAGATTAGCAAATGCATTCTATAGAGGCCAGATGGTTCTATAGATGTAAGTGAATTCAATCAAGTTGGTTCTCATAGATTGGCCGAGGTCATAATGCTTTTACCTCATGAATAGATTGGTTTTCATACTGAATGCTGAATAAACTATCGATAGGTTATTTAAATTATTAATTCATGTGGCTATTTGGATTCTTCAAGGTTCTTTGCATAAATTTATACTAGATTATGATGGTGTTTTTCATAATTCATTATGATGGTGTTTTTCATAATTCATTATGATGTTGTTATGTTAAGGTTGGATATTTTTGATTGATCCAATCTACTATTCTTTTTTAATAATGGCTAGGGAACTCTATTGTCTTTTTCTCTTTTCTGTTTTCATATTATTTT